TATTCAAACAAAGTGTGTAAGAATAACTCCACTACATGTTACAATTTTTATGGAAGTCAGTATATGTACCAGAACTAGAAAAAGGCATATTGTATGTGTAGCGTTATCACAATTTAAAAATCTTGTGATAACTTTGTTATAGTTGTTATGTCATAAACATGGTTAACAAATAAATAAATAAATAAACAATTCATTTAACAACATAGTAAAGAACATACACGTTTCATTTAGTTCGTAAATTATTATTCAAACTAATTGACTACAATGAAAATTAATACAAAGATATTATGAAATTAACGCCAAGAAACAACCCTCTATAAAATTGGTACAAATCTCTCTATAAAGTTGCTAATCCACTATAAAATTGGTGACCCCGATAAAACAATTTGGTTCACAACTTCAAAACCAGTCGTAATGAAGCTATTGAAGTTTTTGGAAAGCGAAGGTAGTTTGGTATTAATAGTTTGGATTTTCCTTTATTGTATTAGACAACGCTCGCACTACATTCAACATTTCCTGACAATTTCATCGATAAGAAAAAAACGAGGACGAAAAATAATTTTTTAATGTACAATTTGGAATTTGAAGAAAATTTTGGACTTTGATCTAAAAAATTTAATCAATTACGATCGATTACAACTTATTAATGGCCGGNTTATTATTTTGGCCTCCTGAACGTACATTTACAATTTGGCCCATTACTTATGAATCACCCTGTATATGTATGTGTGTGTAAGAATACAGACTACATGTTGCAATTTTTATGGAAGTCAGTATATGTACCAGAACTAGAAAAAGGCGTATTGTATGTGTAGCGTTATCACAATTTAAAAATCTTGTGATAAATTTGTTATAGTTGTTATGTCATAGACATGGTTAACAAATAAATAAGTAAATAAACAATTCATTTAACAACATAGTAAAGAGCATACACGTTTCATTTAGCTCGTAAATTATTATTCAAACTAATTGACTACAATTAAAATTAATACAAAGATATTATGAAATTAACGCCAAGAAACAAACAACCCTCTATAAAATTGGTACAAATCTCTCTATAAAGTTGCTAATCCACTGTAAAATTGGTGACCCCGATAAAACAATGTGGTTCACAACTTCAAAACCAGTCGTAATGAAGCTATTGGAGTTTTTGGAAAACGAAGGTAGTTTGGTATTAATAGTTTGGATTTTCCTTTATTGTATTAGACAACGCTCGTACTACATTCAACATTTCCTGACAATTTCATCGATAAGAAAAAAACGAGGACGAAAAATAATTTTTTAATGTACAATTTGGAATTTGAAGAAAATTTTGGACTTTGATCTAAAAAATTTAATCAATTACGATCGATTACAACTTATTAATGGCCGGTTTTTCATACGCAAACGCATGTAGATATCGAACTTATATTACGCTGTTGATCGATAACTAGAGCGATATCAGTCACTTGCGTTTCTGAAAGGGCCGAAAACAAAATAATGGATGTCGTAGCGAGATGGCCAGGATGTACGCATGATATGACTATATTTAATGGGTCTTATAAAATATAAATTTGACAACAATGCGTTTCCTAGTTGTGTTCTACTGGAGAATAGTAATTATGCAGCAAGTGCATACATGCTAACCCCTGTATTAACCCCTGTATATATTATATCAACATGGCGATACAGTGTGCATACTGTGAGAAAAGTATTGGAAGATACGATGATTATATAGTATGTCGAAGTGATTGTGAAAGAAATTATCATTTAAAGTGTGTGGGTATTTCTATAGCCCAATATAATCAAATCCGAGAAGACGGCACAATTAAAGAATGGAAGTGCAATGATTGCAGTGTAAAATTAACCTCAATCATAAACGATGAAAAAAAAGAGGTAAGCGATAACTCTAGCTTAGAAAAATTTATAAATGAAAAAATTGAAAATGCTATCAAAAGTATTACTAATACTATAATAACTAGCCTACAAATAGAAATAGAAAAATTGCGAAAAGATAACAGAGACCTCCAACGTGAAGTTGCAAAGTTAAAAATAAATTCAGAAACAAAATTTTCTGTAATGCCAGAAATAAATCGGGAAAAAGAAACCGGTAACTTTAATAATATTGAGATGAGATCCGAGCGAAATAACAACTCGCAAACCGGTACAATTTCAAAACATCGTAAAAACTCGGAATCGGAAAAAAAGACTACAGCTGATGACAAAAAGATCGAAAACAAAAATATTAATAAAAATAGTAAAGAGGAAAATTCTTTAAAGGAAATATTTTCAAAAAAATCACTCCTGGAAAAAAAGGTTCATAAAAACAAAAAAAATGATGAAAACAGTGGCAAATTTATTGACGATGATGGTTTTGAATTAGCCATTGCTAGAAAAAACAAACGAAGAAATCAAAACACAATTACTGGAACTGCGCAAGGCACAAATTTGAAAGGGGTTAAGCAGTACAGACACTTTCACTTGTATAGATTAAGTCCTGAAACAACTACGAAGGACATCATAGATTATCTGAAAACACAAAACATAGATGCTAAATGTGAAAAACTTGTTTCAAAATATCCTGATGAATATTCGTCTTTTAAACTATCCGTTGAAGAAGGTCATCAAATTGCTATAGAAAATACGCAATTATGGCCCGCTGGAGCTAGAATCAACCGTTTTTTATTCAGACTCCAGGCCTCTACTCTGACCAAAACATGAGAGAAATTCCTATGGTAACATTATTGAACATAAACATACAGNTCGCCTATCTATAGGAACGCGGTTAAAACCTAGGACGATATTACTTGCAATTTCTGTATGTGTAGTTTTACACAATATCTGCATTAAAAATGTTGGCACATTTTAGAAGGAACTGGCGGAAGTATGGACTGAGAGCTATTGTCATGGAAAATCCGATGTATTATTATCATTGACTTGTTTTTATCGCATCGCTATTGCCATCCAAGATAAGAACATCGCGCAAACATTAATCGATACATCACGTATGTGGCGAAATTATACCATATGTCAACGATACGACTCAAAATAATCATCAAGATAACTATTCTGGCATATTAACATCGTCATTATATAGCCTTCGCATTGGCTTAAGAGCATTTGTAAAGTTTCTGACCAAGGACCGGTTGTACAATATACCGATATACTTCCGGACAGCGTTATCTGGTCGATAAGTTAGTTTCTACTGTATTAAAATGTAATGATATTTTTGTCGGTGACATTATCGGGTACTCAACGGTGCCGATAAGACAGTTATTTGCCAGATATATACCATTACTGCGTAGGTTGTGTATAACACCCTATACGTACGTTGCGTCAGTTGTGTATTGTGAAAAATTGTTTCTATTTAAGAAATTATGGAAAGAAAAAAAATGAATGTACCACAAATTATAAGTCGGCCATACACAGACGTTATTTCGCGCGGTTTATCGTGTTATCTCTAAAAACATAGAAAATCATGTGCGTAGGTGAGCATCGCTGCACGAAGTGATTTCAGGGATTTCAGGCGTGCTATCCGCTGAAGTGGAGGCTTCCACGCGGCACGACATGATTTGTGTTAAAATTTGCTGGTTTTCTTGCTAAGTAGTAGGTACTTTAAAATTTTTGACGATATTCGTCATATCGCCAAAGAATTCTTAACTGAACTTATAGAGATTTATAGGTCTCATCCGGCTTTGTGGAAGGTTAAATCGACGGACCATGTTAATAGAAACTTAAAAAAATTGGGTTATGATGAGTTAGTGCAATTTTATTGCAAGCCCAAATGCTGATCGAGAGCTTGTCTCTAAGAAAATCCAATCGATGAGAGGCTCGTTTCGAAAAGAGTTGAAAAATTTAAGAGAAGTTGCGCTTCTAGTGATACGTGTTTAATCTTAACTGTTAATTCTTTTACTTCTTATGTGCAGAAGTTGAACCGCAGAGCACAATCAGCTCTGAAAACCCTAACAGACCTGTTGCAATATATATTTGAGAGCTTACTTACATAACGTTATTATCATTTCTTTTAGATACAGAACAAATTCAAATTACAAACTCATCAATTTAAGCATGCAAAACTACACAAGGTTATTTTTTAATTTTTTTCATATGTATTTATAAATAATAATTGGTCTCTAAAAATTGATATCTAAAGGAATTCGTTTCGTTGGTTACATCTTCAGGAAAAAAGGTATATAATAAACAATAAATGTGTAGAACTAATTTTTATCATGAGTTGTGTAGTTACTAGTATATGCCATGGCAGCAACGACTAGAAGTTCAAATAGTGAACGGAAGTTCATTAAAGAGTATATTTCCGAATTATTGGGAGATCCAAAATTTATGTACGATGTTTTAAGGAAAAACATAGAACCACTGGGGCGTTCAGGCCTTGCGCGATGACAACTTGATTTTGCGTGACGAATTAGTCGAAATAAAAAAACACTTTGATGTAATACGCCAGAAAAGCGATGCTCTAGAACAATATTCCAGAAGAAATTGTATAAGAATTTACTTATTGTACTGGAATGCCGTCTTGCTGATTTGTGAATAGCGTTCCTAACTTCTTTGATAAACATTTCCGCTCTCTCCCCTCCATACTAAGCTTGGTGCCTTTGTTTTACAATCCCCTTGCGATTCCTTTTTGTTATCTCCCTTCTGTTGTTGCCACTGAAGAGACATCTCCTATTGATTGAGTTTTCATCTCCTATTTAGCTTCCATTTCCACCTTCTCTTTTCACCTTCATACCACCTTCCTCCTTTTCTCCAGCAGTCTTCCTCTGCACCTCCCTCTTCGTGTTCACTTCTCTGCTTTCTGGTCAACGACATGTTTTCAAAAATTGGTTGAAACATCATGAAAACCCTCCGCCTTGATCATTAGATATAGTGGCCATTAGTAATTAACGTCAGTCTGAAACCTATCTGAATACAGCATAAACCAATCTGGGCTTGAATATACTATTAAGAAGCTCTCCACAATATAAAAAAAGTTCTCCATAATAAAAGATTTACCCAGATTCAGCTAGACAGTTACACTTACATTAAAATCACTTGATTAACACCACAGATTTCAAGAATAATACATCAGAACATTTATTAAATACTCCCAATTATTCCGATTAGTTAATTTTTTATATTCGCAAGAAAGTATGTTGATTAGGTCTAAAATAGAAAAACATCCTATTTAACCTAGCTTTTTAGTTAGAAAAATTGATAACAAAGTTTTAACGACCAATTATTAGCTTCTAAAGTACGTGTATAACATTTCGACTACGTTCTCGCGAAACTAGTAACTCATTTTCATTCTTAACCATAAACATGTCCAAAAGCTACTCTGTAGTGTCTTTGACAATACTTGTAATTGTCACTCTAGCTTATAATCACATTGAAGCAGCAGATAAAAGATGCCATAAAGTACCTTTACTTAAAAATTTTGATGTCGACAAAGTAATCATGAAAATTGCGTTTCTTTTTTTTAATGTTTTTAACTTGTGTTTTCTTTTTGTAACAGGTAACGGGTAATTGGTATGGTCAGGAAATTGGAGACATGGACGGTGATGAAAGCTCAAGAAGATGTTTAGCTTATAGTGCATTTACTGATAAAAAGAAATCAAATGCAACTTTTACCGTGATAAGACTTTTCAATGGGACAACTACCGTTGGAAAAGCGGAAATGTATCAAGTACACCAAATAAATGATACTTCTGAATTTGAAAGCAAATGGAAACAAGATGTCGGAAAGCGAAGTTCTTGGACGATTGGAACTGACTATGATACATGGTCGACATGGTACGTTTGTCAACCGGAGCAAGACGATAGAGGGATCTTGTTTATCACAACGAGAGAAAAGTATCCAAATGCTGCAACACTCGAGGCAGCACGTAACTCGGCTAGAAATGCAGGATTTAAAATGTCTAAACCCTATTTGAAACGAGTCGATCATTCTCATTGTTTTAATTAAATTTTGAATGTTTCTGTTATAATGTAATCATGGTTTTCTTAAAAATTTGGGATTAATAAATATGTTTCTATGGATAATGTCACTTTTCTTGTCTTCATTGTATGTACATATAAAAGGCGCTACATCAACAATGGAGTGTTGGTACACGAGAAAAATTTCTTTATTGCGAACGCTGATTTCAACAAGATTAGAAACTGGCGATTCGATGAGCGATTATGTTAATCACGCTGTGGAAACGTCGCAAAGATTGAAGGGTGCAGCTTTTGAGATAAGTGATGAATGGGTTGGTTCTCTTTTGTTGGCAGGTTTGTCGGAAAAACCTGAAATACATCACAACATTTATTAATTACTCCCAATAATTCCGGTTAGTTATTTTTTTATATTGGCATGAAAGTATGCTGACTAGGTCTAAAATAGAAAAACATCTTATTTAACCAAGTTTTTTAGTTAGAAAAATTGATAACAACCTCTTAACGATCAATTATTAGCTTTTAAATTGCGTATATAACATTTCGACTACCTTTTCGCGAAACTAATAACTCATTTTCATTCTTAACCATAAACATGCCCAAAGGCTACTCTGTTGTGTCCTTGACAATGCTTGTAATTGTTACTCTAGCTTGTAATCACATTGAAGCAGCAGATAAAAGATGCCATAAAGTATCTTTACTTAAAAATTTTGAAATCGACAAAGTAACCATAAAAATTGCGTTCCTTTTTTAATGTTTTTAATTTGTTTTTTTTTCTTTTTGTAATAGTTAACAGGTAATTGGTATGGTCAAGAAATTGGAGACATGGACGGTGATGAAAGGTCAAAAAGATGTTTACTTTAAGGTGCAATTACTGATAAAAAAAAATCAAATGAAACTCTTACCGTGGTAAGACTTTTCAATGGTACAACCCCCGTTGGAAAAGCGGAAATGTATAAATCACATCAAATAAAAGACACTTCTGAATTAGAAGTCAAATGGAAAAATGATGGCGAAAAGCGAAGTTCTTGGGCGATTGGAACTGACTATGATACATGGTCGACATGGTATCTTTGTCAACCGGAGCAAGAGGATAGAGGGGTCTTGTTTATCTTAACGAGAGAAAAGTATCCAAATGCTGCAACACTCGAGGCAGCACGTGACTCGACTAGAAAAGCAGGATTTAAAATGACTAAACCGTATTTGAAACGAATCGATCATTCTCCTTGTTTTATTGAATTTTCGATTGTTTTTGTTACAATTTAATCGTCGTTTTGTTAAAAATTTGGGATCAATAAATGTGTTTCGATTGATGACACTTTATTCTTGGTATTAATAGACGATTATGAATATGTTATAGCTAATGTGGTACCCAATAACCCAAGAGCTACTTAGGGTGTAAGTATTGGATCCTAAAAAAAATCCTAAAAACTTACATAAATGTTTTTATTATCCAAATGGGGTTTCGACGATTCGGGCGGACAGAGCGAGTACAAACAGAAAACCAATAATAACGTTGTAAATAATGATTCAAGTATTTTCTTGGCGTCAATGGCGCCCATACAATTAAAAATTGGAGATCTTACAGATAAAAATAATTGTATGGTAAAATTTATCTCTATCTAGCAAATGAAGTTTATCACCACCTAATGTTTACAATGATCGATGGCAATGTATGTAACTCTGTTACAAATACCAAGCCTACTCAAAGGTGTTATTTATGTGGGTTAACATCCAAAAATGCTAATAATCTGAACAAATCATTTGGTGCAATAACGAGTAGAAAATAAAGTAGAAATAAAGAATACCATGAGCTTGGAATCTAAGTGCTGCATGGCTGGATAAGATTATTCGAAACATTATTACATGTGGCATATAAGCTACCTATTAAAAAGTGGCAAGCACGCACCGAAGGAACAAAAAAAGTTGTAGATAGTAGAAAAAAAGACATTCAACAAAAATTTGAAATGCAACTTGGTCTACTAGTCGATAAGCCAAAACAAGGGTTCGGCAGTACAAATGATGGGAATACGGCCCAGAGGTTTTTTGCAAACGCTGAGATTTCAGCAGAAATAACTGGCATAAATTTAAACATAATAAAACGCTTTCATGTTATATTACAGCTTATTGCTAGTGATTATGCTAGTGACAAGGACAAATTTGCAATATATGGGAAGAACCGCCGAAATATTTGTAGAAGAACATTCGTGGTATCCGATGCCCACTAGTCTACATAAAATATTAATTCATAGTCCGGAAATTATAAAAAATGCAATTTTGCCTATTGGACAATTGAGCGAGGAAGCACAAGAAAACCGAAATAAAGACTTTAAACGTATCAGAAGAGACCTACCTCAAAAATGTTGTCGTACTGCTACAAGTAGGGATATTCTTAATCATAATATGATCCAAAAGTTTATCCAAAAGGACGAATATTCAGTACTCCTAAATGGCAAAAGGGCGAACGTGTATTGTTTTTGTACTAGAATCATAACCTCACTTATTTCATTTTATTTTAAGTAGCGTTATTTTAGCGAAGTTAGTGGTTACTGCCAAATAAGCTTAAATATGTCGAATAGAACTAAACGAATATTAAATTTAGCACTTGATAATGATAAACAAAGAATTAGAGTGTTAGACAACGTAAAATTGCCGGTCACTATACCAACAATAGTAAAGAATTTAGACCTTATCGATGGCAATATCCGGTGTGATTCCCACAACTATAAGCGAACAAAGTGTGTGTTGTTTACCAGATTCAGAAAAAAATAGCCCAATTCAAGTTATACAAAATGAAGAGGTTAGTAGATTTTGTTACTGTTTTTTTATGTATTATAATTCCTACATAAAAATATTTGAAAATAATGCGGATACAGGGTGTCCGCTTATGCCCGGCGACCAACTATCTGTAACTATTTTCGGAATATGGGTCGTTTGCAGAACTTGACCGGACAATTAACGTGTAATAATTTGAATTATTTTAGGACCAATTACTTTTAAAAGAAGATAATACACATCTTGAAGTTTCTTTTCCGTCAGAAAATGCCGACACTTTATTGGATATTCCAAACATGGATATTATTATTTGTTACGAAAAATCTGATCTTGTGACGCAACAAGATTCAGTTGTGCACAATGTACTAAACAGAAACAATAATCTGGATAAAATTGTACAAGATTTGCAGGTATTCCTTTAAATATCTAGTTAATAAGCAGTTGCTGATTTTGGTATATTCTTTAGCAAAATGTATTATTGCCAGACGCACAAGAAGAGACTCATGTACTGGTGGAAACAACTAATTTAATGGTAGGTACTTCACGAGAAATGAAATTTCAATGAATGCTGTAAATGCTTTGAAACGGGGATATCAGTTGGCCCCCTTGGTCTCCCAACCTAACAGCCTGCGACTTCTTTTTTGCAGAGTTATGCAAAACTTTCAGGCACGACTCCAAGAATGCATAAATTGTAACGGAAGACATTTAGCGGATGTAGTATTCAAAAAATAATTTTTTTGACATTGTAAACCAAATGGCTACTCTCTTATTTTCCATTAATGTATTAAAAATTATTAAAAAAAATATTCTTTAACAATAAAATTATTTACGAAATCTTTCCATTTCACTGCCGGACCCTGTAGTTATTTGTTGGAATTGGGATTTGTCAGATCCGAAAATGATTACTGCTTATATGTTAAAAATAAAAAGTCTAATGAAAACATAATTGTTTTGCTATTATATGTTGATGATATTATTTTATCAGGACCTAATTTAGAATGCATAGAGAGATGTAAAATTGATTTAATGAATGAATTTGATATGAAGGATAAAGGTGATTTAAAACATTTTTTAGGAATAGAAATAGAATATGATATGAAAGCAGGTGTATTGAACATAAATCAAAAGGGATATTTAAGCAAAATATTAAAGAAATTTAATTTTGAAAATTGTAAATCGTGCAGTGCACCTATAGATCCTAAATTAAAGATTAATGAAGCCAAAAATGGTAAAGAAGACAAACCGGTGCGACAATTGATTGGATGTTTGATGTACCTTATGCTGGGATCTAGACCGGATATTGGCTTTGCTGTAAACTATTTTTGTCGCTATCAAGACTTAAACAATGAAGAAGTTTGGATATATTTAAAAAGGGTATTGAGATACCTAAAAGGAACGACGGAGATTAACTTGAGATATGAAAGGAAAAGAAAGAAACACCACTGGTATTACCCAACCCAACCCAATCTGAATCTACATAGATTCAGTTTGGGTAACAGATCATAATGATAGAAGATGCGAATCAGGTTACTTGATCAGGGTATATGGAAACACAATTGCATGGACTACTAGAAAACAAAACTGCGTGGCACTATCAAGCACGGAAGCAGAATTGATAACTGTATGTTCGGCAGTACAGGAATGTTTATCATTTAAGAAAATGTTATTTGATTTGAATGTTCATGTAAAAACAATTGATGTGTTTGAGGACAATCAGGGATGTATTTCACTAATTAACAATCCATAAAATAATAAACGTGTAATAAAGCATGTTGATTTAAAATATTGTTTTATTAACGAGAATATAGATCAAGGGATCATAAATGTAGAATATATAAGTTCAAAATATCAATTAGCAGATATGCTAACTAAAGGTCTTAATGGAAATAGGTTAAAAGAAAATAGCAAATGTTTAGGTTTAGATAATTAGAGATAAGTAAACTTTAAAATAAAATTTTTTTTCTTAATTATGAATGCGTTTTTGTTTTAACATTATATATTTTTTTATTATTATAAAGGATTTTGTGAGTTTGTAAGCAAACCATTGAAAGAGGGCGTTAGATGATATGTTCATTTATACAGTTGGCAATGGTTTTGCATATAAATATAGGATAAAAAGAAATAATAAAAAAGGGTTGGTAACATTGATTTTTTTTTGTTTGTAACGGTTTTTCTCTCTTCCGGTTAGTAAGAAGTGACTAGAAATGTAAAACAGATTATTCTTATAAGTTAATATAGAAATAATTGATCAAGAAGATAGTTGTGTATTATTAATAACCTAAAGAAATAACAAACTAGAAAATGAATACGTAATTATATCTTTCTTGTTTGTTTCATT